CCCACCACTAGGATGAGACAATGACCCTGGACCATCAGGGCAAAGGTCTCAGAGCAGGTACTCAATGAACAACTGATTCACCAAAAAAATGTTTTTCGTCTGAGGATTCCTCCAGTTGAATTATCAACATGTTTTCAGTTACTCGAAGGAGACCAGAATTGGGTTAAGGAGATATTAAACTAAATAATATAGAAAAGTCAGGATAGTGATTGGCACTCAGGAGAAAGACACTTGTCATGTAACGTTAAAGTCCCCAGCTACAATGAACACAGAGCATGTCCCTTTACTGTATGAAGGAGTGCTACCGCCTCACACTAGAGAACGAGGCAAGCCTAGGTGAACTTCCCTGGGGAGCAATAGTCTTCCTGAGGAGAAATTCTCCAAAACCCAGGGCCTTGTTTGGCCTTTGTTTTTCTTTGCCAATGCGAGTATTTTGGAGGTGAAATTATATAAATTTGGGAAATTGAGCAAAGGCAAAGTAAAGGGAAGTGGTAGAAATAAAAGATGGGAGGGGCGCCTGGGTGGCTCAGTTGGCTAAGTATCTGCCTTCAGCTCAGGTCATGATCCCAGGGTCCTGGGATCGAGCCCCGAGTCAGGCTCCTTGCTCAGTGCGGAGCCTGCTTCTTCCTCTCCCACTCCCCCTGCTTGTGTGTCCTCTCTTGCTGTCTCTCTGTCAAAAATAAAAATAAATAAAAAAAATCTTAAAAAAAAAAAAGGATGGGAGAGGTGGAAGAATAAAAACAAATGAATGCTAAGAAGTCAATACTAATCTTGTCAGATTTGGGAAGGAAAAAGGCATTCTAGAAATATTCCAATGGCCTCATTTAAAGATGAGGAAACTGAGGCCCCCAGAGTTGAAGAAATGTGCCCTAACTCACGTGGGTTATCTCTGGAAGTTCCGACCCACTATGTAAGGTTTCTTAACACCGAGGGCATTTCCCAGAACACCATCACGTTGCATCAGTACTCAAGCCCACGGCAGCCTGTGACCATTCCCCGCTTGTACCAAATGGATGCTGGCATCTGGGGCTGTTAAAGTTCTTGAAGGACTCCTGTTTTCTATGACTCCTTGGGGTTCCAAGTACAAACGATGATACAGAAGGCACCATCATCACCACTGATTTAGTTTACTGACTTAATTCGCCATCTCCATCCTGTGCAGTAACTTAATTCAACCAATGGGGAAAACTTTGGATGTCTTTAATGTTATATTTTTTTAAGACCACCATTACTTATACTATTTCAGAAGAATGCAATGCCTTCAACTGATCACATTAAAGAACAAAATAATAGAAATAAATACATAGATAGAAAATTTAGTTTTCTTCTTAAATTCCAATTTGCATAAAGTCACCTCTTCTGTTTCACTTGTCTTCATCACCACCTCCCTCCAAACTTTCCTTTGTTCCTTCATTCCTCTGCACAGACTCCACTATTCCTTTATATGTTCAACCAGAATATAAATTTCCCAAAGGTGGGAATCACTGTTTATCTATCTTTGTATTTGTTCACTTGACATGTTGAAAACACACAGTGATGTTTTTTGATGAAAGGTTTGATGTTTTCACATTTACATATAAATGGAATTATTTTAAAAACCCCAAATTAAGAATACTATAAAATGTTTCATCTAAAAAAGACTGTTAGAAACACAATACAACAGTTTCCTTTATAAATAATGAAACTGAGGTCAAGAGTAATCAAGTTGCTCAGAGTTACCCAGCTATTTAAAGCCTGAATGAGGATGTCCACCCTGGTCCCCTGTCTCTGCCTGCTGTTTTTTTTTTTCTTTGTTTGTTTGTTTGTTTGTTTTTTAGTGTGCTCCATGCAGTCACTTTCTAAGTACAAATGAAACCATTTAAATACCTAAATGATTCTTGGGAAATTATAAATACTTTGGTCATACACTAGAACTTTGACACGCTTCACTCTCTGCATTCAAATCTCTAACAATGCTTGTATATAGTAGATATTCAGTCAGTTTGGGTTTCTTCATCCCTTTATCCCTTCTCTCCCCTAAATTTCCATATCAATCACTTTAAAAATTGCTAATACACCAAGTATGCATCATTTCATGCATCAAAGTTAGCATGTCCACAAAGCCACCCAGGATGCTCCTAGAAGCCAACGGTACTGATCACAAGGTTGCTCCCATGTGAATGATGGAAGTGCTCCCCAAGGCACACCATTAAGAGAAATGCAAATGCCACCATGAGGAGGCACTGTTAGAGAGGGCCTCATTGCATGTCCAAATGCCAAATCCCTTCTTCTTCAGCCAGAGGTACCTCCTAGAGGAGATATTCCTACTTGTCTGTAGGCTACTTTTGGGATACATGTGCAAAGTAGCAAGTGTGTGTCTACCATAGGATGGTGAATTTTTTGAATAAGACATTCTGTACATCGAGGGTCCCTAGTAAATTACCTATTTTCCCCAAGAAGTTGTCCCCCAAAAGTCAGTGTGAGTTGAACCACTTAGACTACCTGTTAGCTTTTACATTTAGATGTTCTGAAGTCTATCCTAATTCCCAATTTTGATAATTCTTTTTAATATAATGAAGCCCTCTTCATCTTGCTTGAGACTAGTCTAGCACTTAAAAAATCCCTTCCAACACTATATTCTGTGAATTGACAAGCAGCTTCCCCTGTGATTTGAGCCTAGTTAACAACAAATTAGACTTTGGAAGATTAATTACTAGGCAGATGCATATTCGAGGTGGTACATTCCCACTTTGAGGAAATTTGGTCATTTTACTTTTGCATCTGTTCGAAGTAGGACGTCCTTTGGCTGAAAATAACACAAGTCAATGTTTAGAATGCCCTCCTCTGTACTATTGATGTGTTGATTTCTAGATTATATTTTAGGCTGGGCTAACACCAAAAACATTTTTCAAAGACAGTCAAAAATGCCATACTTCAAAATCATTTAAATAATTTACAGTATATGAAAGGTAGTAAGTGCTCAGCAAACATTTTAACTAGGCATTTATTGAAAACTGACAATAAATAGTTTTGTGCTGAACACCGTGTAAAGCACCAAAAGATGTACTGTGATTTTCCCTAAGTCGATGTCTGTTCCTGACACATCTTGGATTTTTCCACCCTTACCCTAAGTAACTTGATTCAAAAAAGGGTTTCTGCCAGCTAATTTGCTGACATATAGTCACCCTTGATTTTTGTCTCCTGTTGTTCAACTGAGTCAGTACAGTTTGAAATTGGACAGCTTATAGTGCCAGGTAAAAATCCTTATAAAGAGGATACATTCTCTGGCGTTGCAACTAGTTAACTTTGGGCTTCTACTTGAGACAAAAAGCAACTTCGCTTTATTAGAGAAAATGTCGATCAAGACGCAACTACTGACACCCATCTTTGTTTCCCCAGCCGGTGATACAAGATAAAGCAGAGGAAATGGAGGAGCCGAATTTGCAGCACACAAAGTCCTTGTTTTCCCACTAGGCGCTGCAGAAAAGCAATTGTCCATTCACAGCACATCCTCTGCATTTCGGAGCTAATATTTTTGCAGTTCTTAACTTAGTACATTAGAGTCTTATGCAGTTAAGTTAGTACATTAGAGTCTTATGCAGTTAATTTTGTTAACCCTTTGAAATGCACTATGTCTTTGATACCTTGCTTAATATTTCCAACATGACCCAGTTTTTAAAATTTCTGTTTCTCAAGGTGGAGGGTAGAAATCTTAAAAAAAAAAAATCAAGTAAGAAATTTTGGAAACAGAATCATGGTTTCAAATAATCCTGTCTTACTTGCTATTGCATAACTTTGAGAAGGGTAATAAGGAAATCCACGTTAACCATATGTTACTGGAATTGCTTTTACAGAAATGGACTCTTTGGACAGAAATGATTTTTAGCAGGGATCCCCCTCAACGCATAATAATAATGTGTCACTGAAAACAACATTAGCTCTGTGTTATTTGCCCTGCTTCCTGCAGCATTTAGTGTGTTTACTGTATATGACTGACTTCTGGTGCAAAGAGATTTACTCAAACAGTCACTCTGGCTAAAGCACATGAAGAACAGAATCTACAGATGATTAATTAGATCCCCAGCTCAATCACTGAGGTCCCTAATTAAGTATCTCACTCTGCTTTCCACTCTTGTAAGAAAAGATAATTAGCAAATTCACAGTGTTAATAAAGAACTTTTTAGTTTCCTTTATAAATAATAAGATCTAAACCACTGGTCATCTAACTCAGTGCCTGTACCTTCTCTGCCGACTTCCAAGTCCAGAATATTTTTTTTTAATGCAACAAGGTGATAAAGTGCATTTTCCTCAAGAATTCATTTTTCTGACATACCTTCTGTAGGTTTTTCTACCTTCAGCCTGATTATCAACTTACTCCTCTCTTCCTACTAATTTCTTCATCTTGAAGTCTGCTATCAACCAACATGACAAACTCAAGGAAAAAAAACCTGATTTTCTTTTTCCCTGTCCTGCAACCCTCACCAATCTCTGTACTAATATTTTCCTGTTCTGTCTCCACCAAAAAGAAAAATGACCCAACTCTAAGATTTATGTTGAAGAAGAAATATTGCGTTCATTGAAAAAGAAGGAAAAAGGAGCCCTCCTCCATGGGGGCTCAAAGTGCAGTAAAAATCCCGGAGTCTCTCATTAGGCTGGTTGGAATGAAATGGTTAATTCAGGGTAAGTGATAATGTTTAGTCAGTTCGCCTAGAAAAAGGAAGGAAATTCAAAAGCTGGTTGCTGTAGTAACAATCACAGACCAAAAA